GCTATTTTTCATTCATCCTCCAACCAGCAACAACAGTATAATGCCGGTTATAATCACCGAGGAAGGGGTGGAGCCCGTGGTTCTTACCGTGGCAACTTTCGTCCGTACGGCCGAGGAAATCATAGGAATTTTGGAGACAATAACTTGCGTCGTGGAAACGATCATTGGCGTCGTAATGGCCGACCTCTGGGCGCACCGGAAGTTATTGAAGTACCTGATGGAGTCGATCACCCAGTTGCTCCAGTGGAAGCTGCCGCCGCAAACATGGAGGTTGACGACCCGGGCAACCAAGCAGCGAATGCACCGAATCCGGTCCAAGGCAACGGAAATGTGGCTGCAGGTGAGCCGAATGGTGTCAACCCTGCTGTCAATCTACATGGCCCACCAGCCTTGAATGCTGTTCCTCCGGCTGTCATTCCACCTGCGCAGCAGCAAGCCCCGCCGAACGCTGAATTTCCCGGTTTGCCACCAAACGTGTTGCCCCTTCCCGAAGTGCCGATTGTCCGCGATGCCCGCGACCGTTCTCCGGCTGATCGCCCACGTGCGCCGTCTGCGCCTTCCGGTCCTGTTGGATCAGCCGAGCATAATTTTGTGCCTGGTTATTTGGCTCAGCAGCAGCAACGTGAATTGGATGCTGATCGTCGACGTCAGATGGCTGCGGAAGTTTCTCGCCGTTTGGATGCCGCTGCATCTGGCTCTGGTATTACTGGTTTGTTTTCATTGGCTCCCAGTGCTGGCAAGTAACCTTGACTCACCTTGGCACTGACCTTGTTGCTTTCTTTGATCTTGCCTTCTTACTGGCTTTGTGTTGTCTAATGATTTTGCTTTACCAAAGCCGTGTTGATTTTTCTGTCATTCCTTTTGCTGGTTTAAATTGGTCTCATCTACCAGTAATTTGTACTCATGCTTTTTCTGCGGATATTTTTGCTTGTTTGTTGTTGTTGACAGTTGTTACTGGATGATGTAGTACTCGAGAATTCGTAAAAATACTACTGGTTGGTTGATTTGCTGCTTCTGCTCCTTTAATCCATAGTTCTACACAGAATCGTACATAAACACATTTTCAGATTTTACATTCACATCTAATAAAGCTTTATGCCGTCGAATGTACATACAAAACACCATCTAGTAAACGGCACATTAGTAGTAATTCATAGTTTGCCTTCCTGGATCCCTGGACCTCCGCCCTGCCAAACCCGTGGACTTCCGGATGCCTCTTCGCCAAAGGATTCCACACACTAACTCTCTGGAATCGCGGCGTACAGTCACATTGGGCATCGGATGGACACGTGGATTGTGCGGTGGATCGGGATCAGGATGGGTGGAAGTGCACAATCGCACTGGGATGTTGCGGGATGGATTGTTTATTTTGGCACGGCCAAGCATCGTTCGTGGGGGTGACGTATGGGAGTAGGATCATACGCCGGATGTACGTACGGATGCTGACTGTCCGCCTTCCACCTGCAACATAACGGATAATCTAGTCAATCTCTACTGTGATTTGCTGTTCTCTTTTACTAGCGATGTATATGATGTCATAACGCGAAGTCTATATAAGTTCATGTCGCCGCTAATATCGGGAATGAGTAGTCTGAGATTTACTTCTGAGACTGTTTCTAATTACGATTTCCTAGCGTTGTGAACTGTGATGTGAATTGGATAAAGAGACAGCAATACTTGTTCCTACTGAAGTGCATAGTTGCTCCCGGATTATCGCTTAGTATACAGGTTTGCTCGTGACACAATCGTCCTAGCTCTTGCCGATCCTCACAGGACTTACGACCGGAAGTTGTGGTTAGCGTGTTCCTGAGGGATTCCTGAGTTCCTGTGTTCCTGATTCGCTCGTTTTATTTCCACCATAGTTCTTCAGTTATAGTTTGAGAGTACGAGTGCCTACCGACTGACATTTACAGGCGTGGAAGAGTAAAGATTGTTCATGGAGCCTTAACCGGCGTGAACGCTTATACACGACACCAAAGCAAAAAAGTGTTTCGGAGCGCGCAGAAGCGAAAGATTTCGTGAATATATGCGAATTTTTCCCCATGTACCGGGTCACTTTCTTTAAGCGCGGAACTGAGAAATTAATAATTCGGAAGCTGAAAGCGACGCATGAAGTTAATGTATATGTTATAGTCACTTACAGGTTAATGTTTTTGCCATAATAATTATGACTAAGTTACTACCGCTATTCAATATTAAGTGTATAACAGATAGCTTCAGCAGAAAGTTTTCGTGTATTACCTCAAGATGCTGCACATTAAAGGTTTGTAAAAAAGGCCAACGCATAGGTACGTACGGTGGACGTTGATGTTATATACAAATGGAAGCTGTAGCGTATCTAGTGGCCAATATATCTTTAGTACGAACTCTCAGCTAGTACAATACGAATAATAGCCAGTTTACGGAATTCAACCGGAAAACGCTTCAAGCCGGATATCCGGTTACAGAAAAACGGGCCTGATGTTAGCCTGACTAAGTAATACCTGTGCTTGTTCCCATCACTCGACTGGAGTGTGATGCTTGCAACCCGACCAATGGTAATGTCCGGCGCGGTATTTGAGCGCCGTATCCAGCCCTAATGTCTCGCTCCAGCCGGGTGACGACAGCAAGGGCGACGTATCGGGTTGACTGATATCTGTCAGCCCTTTTTACATGGTTTACCTTCCACTTTGACTAACGAAACGAGACACGCTGTGTTATGCTTGGAACTGCTATGATTGCACAGCACAGCGTTTTGCTAGCTGGTCACGCAGGCTCGCACTTCCGGCAAACGATCCGAAGATTAACAGTCAGCAAGCAACTGGGAAAAGTTTTTAGGAATAATATAGTATTTCAATAAGCTGTGGTAAGTAAGGATTAGGGATACCGTTACTTTTAATGCTCAGTTCCGTTTTGCGAGTCACCAAAGCAAGCAACAGTGTGGAAGAACACAAAGATAAAATGTTTTCCCCGGGATCCGCGCTGAATAACCAATCCCATATTTGCATTTTTGAAGTACGAGGCAAGCGACAACTCTTTTCCATCGCTTTAGTAAATTTTATCACTTTCCTGCTGCATCTTACCCGTGTGCACTGCACACTGTGCAGGCGCTCACGTGATACTCATATCGTATCCAGCTCTTTCCCGTAATCAGCGCTTACTGAGCCGGCGATAAAATCTCGCCTGCCGTGCTCTTCTCTATATTCTTTATCAGTTTGCACAATCAACTATAGCTGCAACCGACGTGAAACGGCTAAAATCAGGTATCACGTGAGCGCCTGCACACGGGTAAGATGCAGCAGGGAAAGTGATAAAATTTACTAAAGCGATGGGAAAGAGTTGTCGCTTGCCTCGTACCCAATTCCCAAAACCAACTAGCAAAAGCTTTGTCTGCGAAGTGGCGGAAGCGGAACAGTAGGAATAAACCTCCCTTTGTTGTTGCTTCTTGTTGACATTGGAATTTATCTTCCTTGTGACAAATTTCGACTAATCCAGATTCCAGGTTTCTGTTTAGCTGTGGCGTAATCATCCCGGTCTGTCGCGGAGCTATATATGGCGTTGCAGCATGGACCGTTATTTTTCTATGCTGTGACTACAAAACTCTTACGCCGTGGAGGTGGATTAGCGTTGTCCTGCTAAAAGTAGTAGTTCTGTTTGTTCCTACAGCACTGGTTTCATCCAGTCTTCCACGCTGATTTATTTGCGTTCGTAGTAAGCGGATAGCCAAGTCGAAGATAGCCATGTTGTCGGTAGTACGGTACTTATCAGTGCAATATTCGGCCTGATGGCGGCAATCTTTGCCTGCTTCGTAGCGATCGAAATTGCACAGCTGTCCACTGTTGGGTACTGTGTCGTCGACTCAGGTTGGCACTATTTTTTACAGTGTGCCAAATCCATGCTATACAGCACCGCGCACCGTGCAGGGTTGCACTGAACTGCTTGAACAATATCGCACAATCAACCCGAGCGGTTGAAAGCGAATTTCGTCAAAAAAACGACTGACTGTATTGTTTTCATAATTTTAAATTATTGGTGAGTTTGCATAATTTTTGTCAAAATTATGACACCCGAGATTTTGGGGGATTCCTTCAAATCAGCCCAGTTCTCCCGTGCTCAAGGGGGAATGCCTCAGAATTTTAAGTGTCGTTTGGGCAACCGCTCGTGGTCGTGGATCTTGGGGACGCGAATTTCAAAAATCGGCCTTAACCGTTTTGTTCAGAATTTTACGACCAAATACAACGGTGTATTCAAAGAATTATCTGAAAAAAACTTCAGGAGGAAGTCACTTTTGAAAATTTAACGGGGTTCTTGATAGTAGGCCGTATTTTGGCAACAGTCGCTATCAACCGCCCGGGATGATTGTATGATGCTGTTCCAGCAGTCCATGCACGCTTGCACTGCGCATGGTGCTGTATAGCATGGAATTGGCGCAGTGTAAAAAATGGTACCAACTTGAGTCGACGATACAGTATATGCCTGCAAATCGAATAGCCGGTCCCATCGCATATCTTCTGGAAGCGGCGGAAACCACGTTTTATATGATTTACGCCACGCTCACTTGCTTTATCACGAGTTACTTGCTGTATTACGATAACGTTGGAAACCTCATCCGAGATTTCGACCAGTATGCGGGCAAGCAAAACGTTCCATGTCGTCATCGTCGGGTCAGTCTTGGATGCTGCTTTATGGGAATGCTGACGTTTACCGTGTATTATTGCAGTATGCTGTACACACAGACCATCGGAAGTGATGAAGAACTTATCACGGTTATCACCCATGTGTTTCGCACAAAACCGATCATGATCTCCTACGTGACCTTGACATATTTAATTGGCATGTTCATGTTTTGCGAGATCGGCCTGTTTTCCCATATGCTGACTTTGTTCCTGCGAGTCACAGAAGAACATTTAACTTTTATGCTGGAACTAAAAACAAAGTCGACACCGATTTGTACGCAACAGGCGGGCTCGCTCAGTCCATACCGTTCATCAAAAGCAAGAAGGATACGAGGAACCAACTGTTCGATGGCCTTCAGGAATGTTTCCGCAAGAAAATCGTTTTATGGGTTATCACCATTTTCTTCGTTCTCAACAGCCAAGTCGCCAAATATTTTCTAGCTGACTTTGCAACCACTCGAGATCAGGTAACCTTCATCCTGGCACCGGCTTCCTTCGTATTTGCTTTCAGCGGGCCTTTAGTCTTGATGTTGCGAGTTCAAAACCAGGTAGGCGCTACCGAAATTTTTAGGCAGTCTCTGCACTATATCGAACTTTCTTACGAGTATGATTTTGTACATGAGCTCCACTTTAACTTCAAAAAAATACTGATTATTTTTGTTAAACCTTAAAAACTTGTAAAAACTATGCATTCGTATAATATTTTGTAACCGGCTTGCTGCTAATATTTTGCATTCCAGGCCAAAGGTATCAACTTTTTTACGAGTATGATTACTACAGTACATGGACTGCACTTAATTTAACTTCAAACAAATACTTCTACTGAATATTTTTATTAAACCTTAAAGAATTTCTAATAGCTATACATTCGTGGAAATACTTTGTAGTTTGTAACCTGCTTGCTGCTAATATTTTGCATTCCAGGCCAAAGGTATCAACTTTTTTACGAGTATGATTACTACATGGACTCCACTTAATTTAACTTCAAACAAATACTTCTACTGAATACCTAATTTTGTAGCAGTAGTGTCTGGTTAATACTGTCATAATTGTGAATTTCTTCTACTGAATATTTTTATCAAACCTTAAAGAATTTCTAATAGCTATACATTCGTGGAAATACTTTGTAGTTTGTAACCTGCTTGCTGCTAATATTTTGCGTTCCAGGCCGAAGGTATTACCGCATCTACGCGCAAATTAGAAGAGATCATCGCCGTTCGCAGGGCAAATGATACAGTAAGTTGTAAAGTAATACTTTTCATAAATTTTAGTAGTCACTCATTACGAGACGGGAGCAGGCGGCGACAATGGCACTAACGCAGCAGTTACAAAATTATCATTGTCGTTGCTAGGGAAATACCTAGGAAGGAAATGTTTCAATCAGTGGAATAATTCTTCAAGAATGACACACAGCATTGAATTGATTGATTTAATGTTTCCAAAATTGATTGACAGAGAAGAAATATCGTAAAATGATTCTTGGCAGCGTAGTACAAGTCCAAAAAGTAACTTGTGAATAAAAGTTGTGTTTTTGCCGATTATATTCTTCTGCAACCATCCCGTTTCAGTTTTTGTCATCGGATATATCGACCGGTTTTGAAACATTTCGTTACCGTGATGAACCAAAGATATACGAACCTCTCGATTTCTGTTATACTGTACAGATATGCTCCGTGTTTTCGAGTATCTAAATTTCACAGTAATTCATAACGCATTTAAAAGATTGTCAGTAATATTTTCATGGCTAGCAAACGTAAAGCATACGATGCAGGAACGCAGATTGTCTGGCAAATCTGTGGCTGCCACTTGCATTGCTACGTTCCAAAACTCCCTAGTTTTCGTACTTCTTCAAAAATAACAAAAAAATAACGTCAAAGCAGCAAATTGACTCTTTTTATCACTACACTTTGGTTGTCTGCATTCCTGATACTGGCATTACATTAACTTTAATAATCAAGTGGAAGATTACCATTTTACAGGATGGCGTCAACGAAGGTTTATACGATGCAATACGTAGCGCAGCGGAAGCGGCAGAAAGGGAAGACTTTCGATTCATAGCGATAAGACCCGAAGTTTCTTTGGTAATAAAGGTAAGAAAAACTTTAGACCAAGTAAATAATCCAAGCTTTGGGACTATAAAAAATTGATGAGGTAGTAGTCCTTACATGTTTAATATATTTAAACCATTGCGCGGCGTTCCAGTCCCAGTGTAATATGACAAGACGCGCATGAGGCTTGTGCGAATGTTTATAATTTGAGGTTTGTGCTACCCGAGTATTTACACGTAAATAACAATAATGTTGTTCTATGGCACTGTACATCTGTCCAGTTAACTCGTGCATCTTTTTTATTTCAGCTTTTTCTTGTCATCTTGACCATTTGGGGGCTGGCGTATGATGAAATCAATAGAGTAAAAGATGATGCGGTGATGCAAGACATGCAGCACAGCTTTAACAACCAAACGCAGATAAATAGCAAATCCTCATTGTCATAACCTCGCTGCTGGCGACTCGAGAACTTTTGCACCAGGATACATCATTCATATAATCAGCATCCGTAACAATGCCGAACACTGGTTAGCCTTTGGGCTGGTTTGGGAGCCGGCGTCGGATGGATAGCTCCCGCTCCTTTGTATATGCCACTACTGTCATGTATCAGTCCAAACCTGGTTTGCACCGGCGGGATACGGGTATTATTGGAAGCGCTGTTATTCGCCGCTCCTCCACTCTCCAGTTGCAAATCCGAACTGGTCTGATTGGAAGCATCTGTTTCGCATGCGGAAAGTGCTATAAAAATGAACAAAGTTATAACAGTTATTCTTGTAATTTTGCCGATATGGCTTAGTATTCGCTTGTTCCGTAAACCGTATAAGCAGTAAACTACGTTTATTGCTTATATTTTAGTACGAGTATGGAATATGGATGGCATTACTGTACAAATAAAGGTTTGGCTAATATATATGATATAAAACGCGGAAGTGAGTTTCCTATTTTTGCCCTGAAGTGCGCCAATTTCGCCTGTGTTTGCCGTGTGCGATGTGTTGTACAGTTGTACTTACTTGTCACTTGTCAACGCCACTTACTAGCTATTGTTTTCCGCAGACGACCGCTGCCCGTTTTCCACTATAATAAGGTAGAAGCTATGAAAATTTAGTAATTGTTATGCATCACCGGAACAGATATGGAACTATTATTATGGAAACGTTTCCACTGCTGTGAAATGTTTACATGACTGCAACGAAATAGTATTAATTTCTTATGAGCAGACCTATTACGTCTCCGGAAATAAAAGCAGCTACATCAAATAGCAGCTATATCAGTAAGTATCAAATAGCCACGCAAAGAAAAGCTTCATAATTAAGCAATCTTTGGCATAAATGCCGCATCGTACGATATCCTCAATTTTCCGTGCCTTTCCTCACAGCTGATGACAAAGAGCTTTTTCAGAAGTGTTGCTGTCCAGGTACCAGCGCAATGCGAACAAAGTTAACTTCCGCAAGGATTGCAGCGGTACATAGGCCAAGGGATCGTCCATGTTGTCGGTAAAACGTGAATCTCCTGCTTGCCATTGCCTCAACAACTGCAAATATTCACAAGGATCCAGTGCGTCGGACGGCGCAGAATGCTTATCTAATGCTCTTGCTGGTCAAAATTACTAAAGAACTTGCAAGATGAAATACTACGCAGTGCGTACAACAGCAAATACAGCAAGACAAACAATGTCAGAGAATACTGCAGACATGGTCAAACAAGGAACTGCGCTTCGCTACAAACATGTACTGCACTTGTATAAGTGCTACCCATTACGAATACTCTAACAACTGTACCAAACTGCCTTTCTCAGATCTTCCAATACGTTACTGGTTATTTCCGATACTTATCAAAGAAGATGAAAGCAACGAAAACTAAAGAGAACAAAAAGTAAAGGATGATCGTTAAAATTATTTTTGAACGCTTTAACTGGAGTAGTATTTCCCGCCGTTCGTTTCTACCACACATGTGCAAATATTCTTACACTTCTGTCTTCTTCTGTGTCAGCTTGCGGGTGCCGCCCACTAACGATTCTCCAATACGATGATACATAGTATGAAGCTGTACAAGCTTGTCCCGTAATTTCGATCGTAAAGGTACAGCTAGCGCGAAATTTGCGCTTGAAACGATGGCCACGTCACTACGCTTATCTGATTGCCTAAATCCGCTCCCGCTCGGTGTGGTAATGGACAATAGTTAGATTGTCCATTACCACACCGACAGCTTCTTGGCCAACTTACGCCAGGCAGTTACTGTTATTCTCATTGAATTATATGGCGTGTACCAAGCCACCAGCCAGCCAAATGCATGTTACGTGTTTAAACAGTGTGGCGTGGCGCGCCGTAGTACGGATTTACGCGCAACACGTAAATTTGTAATGTTCGCTGTTCTGATGCGATGGAAATTACGGGAGAAGCTTGTACAAAGATTCCCTGAAGCTGCAAAAGTTGGTTACCTGCAACAAGACTTTCTTCGGGACAGATTGCTTGTCTAGTCGGCTTTCCAGCATTCGGAGGACTTCGTCTCTCATCGGCAGACAATTATCTTCCAATATTGTCCTTGCACTTTGCATTTGTTCGTTTTGATTAGTATTGATGATGTACTTGCCCATGCGTTCGATGGGCGAACTGCCCATAACGCGAACTGATCTAGAATAAACCATGGTATCGAAATCCATATATCGAAACCTGTTATTATAAGGTCCCACAAAAGCTTTCCCGTTGCAGCCACACGATTCCGCATCCACATACACGAGTCCGTTCATGTATACATTATCCAGGACTAATTTGTCACATAAGTCTTTCCAATCCGAACGAAACTGCAGAGTCAGTGATCGGGACCAGCTCAGAACGTCCGGTGCCCAAACGTGCCAATCCGAAATAGTGATTGTTTGCAGTTTAATGCTTTTTGCTTTCAGTAGACCAGTTAGAATAGCGACGGGATTGAAGAGGCGGGAATAATACCAGGCATTTGGCTTGCAATTAACGATGAATATATTGCCTGATAAAATGATTTTTCTAGTAAACTCACTGATATTCTTATCGAAAGCTAAAGCCAGGTCGTCATGCCCGTATGTCTGCAGATCAAATTCCAGTCGCGAGCACGTTGTCAAAATAGTATGCCAGAATTTGCACACTGAGCAGCACTTCACTTGTTCTCGAAATTCCAGAAAGGAAAATATTCGACGAAAGATTTCGACAGGTAAATAATTGTTTGGACATGGCCGATAGCGGTACCGTGGTCTGAATTTGGAAGCCTAATAAAAACAACCAATTTATCAGATTAATTGGTACAACGTATAACGCGATCCTATAGTAGCGATAGTGCGCATGCTACTGCAGCGTACTACAAGATCATTTGTATCTGTATACGCTGTAACGCTGATGTAAAAACGGAATGCGCACGTGACGTATGGGAGCTACACACATCCGTACGTACTCCTAATTACTGTAATTACTGTACGCCTTTCTCCTACGTCACTGCGGTTGTTCATTATCGCTATCTGTGATTCGTCCGTTCTCATCTTGATAGCGATGTATCTCGTGCTCCTAGAAGTCTATATAAGATCGTGCTTCCTGAGTTTAACACGATCGGTCTTGATCACTTAAGACTGGCAACTTGCTTAAAACTTTCTAGTGTTGTGCATGTGATTGTGAGTAAGCGAAGTAAAGCATCTTCTGTGTTATCGACGTTCATAATTAAATACGAATTATCGCGTGGTAATCACGGTATGCTCGTGCTTCGTGGACCCTCATGTGTAACAACCGGAAGTTAGGAGTATTCAGTATAATGGCTTAGGGATTCCTGAAGGTTCGTGTTCCTGATCAGTTTCCGTCCGTTATTACTGCAACAGTTGATTTAAGAGTCTGCTCTACCGACTGGGTCGTGGCTGGGAAGTGGTTAACCTCGTACATTAAACCGTATCGAGTCTTTCTACATGACACCCGTAACTTGCTGGCACTACTGTACAGCAGGCACATTAAAAACCACGTCTCGACCAAACCGCGTTTTAATTCTTTCGGAGTGTTAGGGTATTTGCAGTACGCGGAAGTGCATTAATCTAATCCCAAACGAGCTTTTAAAGTTGCAATGTTGACCTTACCACGCCGGATTTGGAAGAAAGACGCCGCCCACGTCGTTTACTTCCAGCTCTCCTCCAAATCGACAATTCGCAGAACGTAACCCGGTTAGCCATTATCCGAAATACTTCGGTCTGCGAAAACAAGCAATCTTAAAGCATCTTTGTATAGCATATCGACAAACAGCAAGACAGGCCAAAACTAACACTAAAGGAAAAGGTTATAATAACACACAGTCAAAGCGTAGATGGAAATATGATGGTAGGTAGATGGCACCGCCACTACCAAACTCGTGTACGATACATGCACGGGAGTCAGGTTCGTTCCAGCAGTTCTAAACATTTTGTACATTTCTTTACGTCATTCTTTAGCCAGATCTAAACATCGGTATGCAATCGTTAGTGTGCGCAACGTTTCCCTGCGGCGTTTTGGGTAAAATAAACTTTTTTGAAATATTTTAACACCAACAAAAGTGTATAAAACAAGAGCACTTTGCCACGTTTGAGCGTTATTCTTTTGACTGGGTAAACTTAAGGCTCGAAAATGATACCGCCTCCTGCGTTATGCAGTTACTAATGCATATAACACTACTCAGTTGTCCGCATTAACACTTTACAACGTACCAGACTCCAAGACCTCGGCCATCGGGAGTCTTTAGTAGTATACGTAACAAATTCGCTACTAGTAACAGCACTACTGCTGTGGGCAATGAAGATCAGTTTTCCTCTCTCAACCTTTACGAGTATGGTGTCGCTCCGGTGTCCATGCTGACGATTCCACCACTGAAAATCTTGTTGACTTCGCGCCTTGGCAAGAATTAGAATTATCCAATTTAAAGGCAAACGGTGCCGTTTATAATTCTTTCGCGTCAAAGCTGGTCGTTCTCCTAAAGGCATAATGCAATGCTTTCTCACCACTTCCCTTACGCTTTTGCCGTGCCGTTCGGTCTCGACAAAAGCGAAGGTGTAATACGATCCCGCGATTACTTTGGCCGGATACCAACAAAGTGCCTCGTTGTCGGAGCTCCGCCACAAAACCTGTACAGCATCCCCAGAGGCGAAGAGATACTGAGGAATCTTCCCAAAACATCGGGAAAACGGGATTAGCTCAGCATGGTGGCCGGGATATCCGAAATCAATGATAAAGCCTTCCGCAGGGTCCATATCAACGATGAAACCATGACGGAATGATCCATCCTTATCCTGCGCATCCACCGCGCCGTAATGCCATACAGGGTTCACGTAAAACGAGCCGTATTCCAACATACTGTGTGTATTGCTATGTGCTCCTTATGACGTAGTAAACAAAAATGTTGCGGCATATTTCAAAAATTCAGTTGAAGAAGGCACAAGAAATTCACCTAATAATATCAACGCGCTGGCTGAGATAAGTTAAGAATAACGAAGGCTTTTCCCGGATATCCTACGCCGTAGCAAATATCGGCAAACTCGGCGTGACACACTCTGCGTTTATCAAGCATGAGTTGCACTGTTGCCGGTCCCGCATAGTGCTCTCTTCTCCATAGAATATCGATCGCTTCTTTAGCTGCGCACGCTTACGCGTTGTATCAAGTGGTCAAATGCAATATACAGCGCATTCAATCACTGGCACTGCCTACGTCCGCAGAAGTGCATTTCCGCATGCGGCACATAATCGGTAATCCCATTTAGTGTACTTAAGCAGCTTCGAGACCATCGTTCTCGGAAGACAGTCAGAAGCTCGGTAAAATCCCGGCAATCGCGATCCCTCGATCTAATTCTACACACCCGTACCGTTCGAAAGTTACAAGGCACTTTTACGAAACTGCGGAGATGAACATTACAAACGACCAAAACTGAGCGTTTCCGGTGCGTGCAGCAATAAAACCGCCCTGTTTTTCGGGGCGTGTTTAGAAGTTTGCGAAAGTTTCATCCTTTTGTTCTTTATAGTTTGTTGCGAAAAGTCACATCTTCAGCAAAATTTTGATCGGAAAATGAAAACTTTAGACGCGAAAGCCAATTTCCGTGGTGAATGCGTGTATTCTTTTTAAAATACTGTAGACGATGCAAATCCAGCCCACGCTGCTGCTACAACGTTCAGAAAAATGTAACGTGACGTAAAGACACACAATTGTGCGAGTGTTAATAGGAATACAACGGACAAAATGGGCACTGCTGGCAACGCCAAGAGAAAGGTCATGCGCTGAACCTCTGGTTAGATCCTGGCACCAGCAGGGACAACAGCGACGGCCGAACTCTGTTTTCTGAACGGCCGAATGGACGGGATGACCATCATGGCACTCCATAAGAATGATGCCAGTCGAAAGGATAATTTCTCGAGCAGTGTGCAGTCGACCATGTTCCCAGCGATCGACATGGAGAGATCCGTCCGATCGGTTGTGGATAAAGCGTTGTTAATAAGCGTCGCTTTGTTGGCAAAACGATACCGAAGGACGAAGACTAAAAACAAATGGCGTCTCAGAAGCCGTGCATACCAAATAACTGCCCAAACTTATTCTATATTGTGGAGCTGTGAGTAAAGATATGATACACCGATACACGTACCCCGAAAGCAAAACTACCTTCAATTTGGACAAAACCAACTAATTTTACTTACATGCGTCGTTTTACACGGTACCAAGATTTCTGTGAATTTCTTGTCTGCTGATGAAATAACGTTTTCCGTCATCTCCGCAGTCCAGAAACCAGCGCAGCGTCAACAAGGTTAACTTTCGCAAGGTATGGACCGGTAAATTAGCCAACGGATCGTCCTTGTTGTCAGTTAAACGTGCATCTCCTGACTGCCACTGCCTTAACAACTGTAAAAAGTTTTAAAACTGCGATAACCTGTTAACTGTCGTTACTGACCAGCTTAATATGAGCGTGGCATAGCTGTGCAGAGTGCAGACCTATCGGAAGCTGTTCATTCTGTTTCTTTAACTGATTTCTCGTTACCGTTTTTATTTCTTACGTAATTAATGAGGCCTGTGGTCTGCAGCCGCATAGTGATAGGGTTTTTCTCGATTTGTGTAATCGTAGTTATACTCATTCATGTTGCATGCTTTCTCAACCTAAGCAGCTAAACGTTTACCGAACGGTTTTGCAGTATGTACGTATTTGTACAAAATCTATTATTAATTTAAGCATCGGATTACCCGTGACAAGATTTTTCTGGGTACAGAATGCGTTCCTACTCGGCATTGTAGCATTTGCAGAACTCCATCGCTCATCGGTAGGCAGATCTCCTCCAGCCACTGCCTTGCAGCTTGTATTTCCCCGCTGTCACTTGTGGCTACGTTAATCGCGACATTCGACTCCGGACATTCTGCCCAAAATCTCTTCTCATAACTTACAGCTTCCCAGTTAAAGTTTCACGATTCACCATCCACGAACATCAGTCCTTTTACAGGTATATACACGTTTTTCAAGACCAATTTGTGACAAATGTCTCTCCACTCCGATCGAAATTGCAAGGTCAACGAGCTGGACCAGCTCAAGATATCCGGCGCCCAGACGTCCCAGTTACAAATAGTGATTGTCTGTAGCTTGATGTTTTTCGCTTTCAGTAATCCAGTCAGAATAGCGATGGGATCGGTGGAGCGGGAAGCTTGTTGGCCATTACCCGTTAATATTATGTGTCTGGTCGGTAAAAAACAGTGCCGTGCTTTGCGACCGCTTTATTCGACTAGTTGTTTCGAAACACTACCAAATCTATTGGACATTAGTCAGTTTCATTGCAACTGTTCTTAATGTGTCGATAATAATGTCATCTGAAATAGCGATGTGAAGATAGATGTCTAATGTTTCTTTCCTCCTGCATATAAGAGAAAGGCATTTTGTTCCGTCCGCAGTTAAATAAAAACACGCTACGCCGGAAATCGTTTTTTTAAATATTAATTAATGCCTTAATTACCCTGCAAGCTTTCATGTAATATGTTCAGGATCGACCGTGTATGGTTTTACGGCGCTGTTGACGTACAGGACGAAGATGGATCATTCTGCCACGGTCGGATCATCGACATCGACGTCGCGAGAGGCTTTATCATTAATTTCGGGTACCCCAACCATAGTGCCGATCTAATCCCATTACACCGATGTTTCGGGGTAATTTTACGCCGTCCTTTCGCCACAGGAGACATGGTAGAAATGTTGTGGCGGGGTTCAGACAACGAGGTCTTTCGGTGGTACCCGGCCAGAGTTGTCGCGGGATCGACTTACACATTCGCTTTCGTCGAGACACGGCGAAATCGTGAGGGAAGTGATGAGCCGCTGTCGGATCATGCTACCAGGCGAACGACATCCTTTGAGGTTAAAATGATATAACCGTCACACTTCGTCTGCTTCTCGGAAAGTTTCAGTCCTCGCACGGGAGCGAAATAAGGAAGACTTTCTGTGGTGGAATCGTGAGCATGGGAAGGAAGATATACTCGTGAAGGTTGAGAGAGGAAAATGATCTATATTGTAGAGTCGCGCTCTGCGATCTACATATTTGGCATTGTCTATTTCCGGTGCATGCTGACGCATGCACGCTTGTAGAGTCGCGCTCTGCGATCTACATATTTGGCATTGTCTATTTCCGGTGCATGCTGACGCATGCACGCTGTTCTAGAACATTCTGATGTGCAGTAAGAAAGTATATAAGCAGTTCAAGGCTGCTGTTAGACCTTGGGAGTTGCATGAGTTTAGATCTATGTATCAGAAGATCAAGATGAGTAAAGATACCGGTATCCAGTCAGACGCAGACGCTTCGTTTACGTGCAGTAGTTTAGACAGACAGTACAGCACTTCCCCTGACCACTCTGAGCCCTTCACATCTGTAGCCCCCTCCGGAGGATAGAACATCTGGTCAGTAAGAAAAATCGATGAGTAATATTTTTTTTTCTTTCTTCGTCTTCTTCTTTTTCTGTTTTGCTCAGGCTGAGCTACGCATTCAAAGATACGCATTCCGTACCACTGATTACCCTCATAATTGTGGATTGTCTCATTAAGTTTTAATGAGGTTGATTGCTCCGTTGATTTTATTTTTATCGGCCAATTTTGCCGAAAATGTTTCTTGAGTTTTGTTGGCCAATGCTGGTCGTTGTGTTAAACCTCAGAATACTGAGTGCGATTATTGCCCAGTTATGTCTTGGCGGTACGGGTGTTATCATTGGTAATGTCAAGGTTAAATGGCATTTTTTACTGATCTGTTATTACTAGCAGAAAGTCAAAGCTAAATTTTTTTTGTCACTGCATGCGTCTCAGATTTATATCTAAGTCTGATCTGGCGTCTTAGTTATCCGAATCAACCCATGAACTCTTCGCGATTAACAATACCTACCATCTCTTTGCAGCCAGCAGAGTCTCTCTTTACTTCTGTCATCAACTTCATCGAAATCGTCTCTACAAATTTCTCACAAGCAGCTCGGCAAATTCTTGAAATTTTTTTTCTCAACAGAGACTTAATTCTGTGCACCAAACTTGGATGACCTTTCTACGAGGTGCTCATACCCTCGCCTCATCTCATCTCCTCAAGGAAATTTAGCCACGTCGCGGTACAACAGATTTGGAGTCTACACCAGTTGCAATTTTAACTGAAATTCCCTTGCGGATCAGTTTTCCTGTTCGGGAGGTTTTCCTGGTTTTACTCACGAATTGGACTGTCGATTCGGAATGGAATTGATTAATTTTTTTTACTAACTTTACAAAGTATTAATAACAAAATATTGAAAACTAATCAAGATCGAGGACGATCTTCTTTTGAAAGGAGAGCAATGTAGAGTCGCGCTCTGCGATCTACATATTTGGCATTGTCTATTTCCGGTGCATGCTGACGCATGCACGCTTGTAGAGTCGCGCTCTGCGATCTACATATTTGGCATTGTCTATTTCCGGTGCATGCTGACGCATGCACGCTGTTCTAGAACATTCTGATGTGCAGTAAGAAAGTATATAAGCAGTTCAAGGCTGCTGTTAGACCTTGGGAGTTGCATGAGTTTAGATCTATGTATCAGAAGATCAAGATGAGTAAAGATACCGGTATCCAGTCAGACGCAGACGCTTCGTTTACGTGCAGTAGTTTAGACAGACAGTACAGCACTTCCCCTGACCACTCTGAGCCCTTCACAATATTAACTGCTATGACCGTTACGAATGGTTCCCGAGGCAAACGGTACGTACAAAATCAATGCGAAAGCCGACAATTTCGTAGTATTCGTAGTATTGTAATTGCATGAGCGTCACTATCATCTTTAATCCTCAATGCAAATTTCTCCTGTAAGCAAGGAAGTTACAGAACATTAAATCGTAAAAACGCATTCTTACGGCTTAAATGAGCTTAACCTGAGCAGTTCCCGTTACCTTTACTTCATAATGACTTGCGGTTTGAAAACCTTTATTTAACTCTCTGTATATAATTAGCGTAGCTTTGGCATATTATTGTGCCGATCTATCTCACACGAAAATCGGTCCAAGGCAGTATTTTCGATAAGAGCCCACTATGCCGCATAGTGTGCCGCAAAGTATCCGGCACACTACGCGGCTTACTATGCCGCTTAGCGAAATATTTTATCAATTCCGATTGGCTCTCTCACAAGTGCGCCTGCCATGCACTGCCCACTTAAACTTTCGTACGTACAGATCTACAGCGCGCTGCGTGCACCAGCTACTCCAGTCTGCAATGCCCGTGGCAACTGCAACGTCTGCTAAAACTTAGAAACTTTTTGAGTTTTCCTATAAACAAATTAGACACACAGGAGTAGTGGATTTCCCTTTATATCTGCTGTCAATGTTAAAATTACATGGTTTTGTACGACCATCGGGAATTCCTGTCAGTTTGCAATGCTTTACGAGAATCATTGCAATTCTGCTTTGGGACTTCATTTGCTAACAAGTGTGGAACTCGTATCCATCGCTTTATCCTGTTATGATGTAACCTGCAACGTCGCCGTTCGATTTTCAACGGGTAAGGAATCTTTTCTGTAAAAAGGTGTTATTCCCCAGAAAACATCTGCAGTCTGTGATACTGTACTATTGCAGGCAGCGCGTATTTTGATCTCAGAAATTTTCGAACGTTACGTTGTTAATCATACTCCCAATGTTTATACAGCTTCTAATTTGTGCAGAAGCAATCCCCGAAGAGCGGAGCGCGTGGATTTACTGCAGAAGACACGGGAGTTCCTGTTTTTGAAGAACCTCCATGAAACCCAGTGAAATGTTTTCTTAATAGCAAGTGGTTGTGCAAGACTCAAAGTCTGTGTTTCTGTTTCAGCGGTGGTGAAATACGCGCTTTGCTGATCTCAGTTATGTACTTATTATTTTTCTGGAATTCCTGGCTACTTATTTGATTTAATGTTTTGTTTATAACGGATGTGCTATCATAAATTTTCAATAAAAATTCCTTTGACCAAGATATCGCTGCCGCCTCGAATAAAACGTCACGACTGTTTATCAGCGGGCTGAAAACAGCCTTATTAAACCAATACAAACGGGCATGCAAACAGCATTTTGGTTAATTCGACCAATAGGAGCCGCTGCACTGTCCAATGAGCGTTACCTTCGCTCAGCCAATCATAATTGTCAGATTACCGATGGGATGGCTGGCGTGTACTAGCCAATCGGAATCGCGCTAACACGACTCCTGCGGCATAGCGAACGCATAGTAACGTAGTCTCTGACTGCGCTTCGATTTCGCTCAGCGGCATAGCATACTGCATAGAAACGGCATTCTATGCCGCATTCTTTTTTTCATGTGAGTATGATAAAACTACTGGTGCTTAAATTAATTTTGTTTTCGAAGATCGAAGTATTTCGGGCCATGGCTGCACGGCAAGCTGCCGATCGATTAAAAAATGGCAGGACAGCTGGAGAAAAAGGAAGTAGGAAGGACTTCTTTTCCAAATTCTGCGCCTGGTATAAGGTAGCAGAAAACATTGTACTTACCTTTGACTAAATGGCCAAAGCATAAAACGTAACTATCAGTAAGACACTTATTATGCGCCCCTCTCCTGCAGCAATTTAAAAACCGATCGCTTTTTTAGGCTTCCAGATCACCCACAACACGGTACCACTACCAACCGTGTATAAACGATGATCTACCAGTAGACGTCTTTCGGTGTATATTTTTCTTCCTGGAATTTCGGGACCAAGTTAACTGCCGAAGCGTGTGTTGATCCTGGCACGCCATTCAAACCAGCGTTCCCACGTGTTTACGGACGGAATTCAACCTGCAGGAATATGGGAACGACGAGCTGGCTTTCGCTTTCGATAAAGATATCATCCAGTCAATCACTGACTTACGTCGACTGATGAAAGTTTTTCCCGAACCACGCGAGCCTGCTGCAGCAACGATTTACGCGAAGGGTAAAATATCCTACACCGTACTGGTAGCATATATCGGCAGAACAGCATAACTCACTCGCCGTTTATCAGAAAGAGCTGCCGGTCCCGCATAATGCTGTGCATGGTTGCATCCTATCCTCTCGTCCGTAGATTTATCGATCGCTTCCGCGGCTGTAAACGCGGTACTATTTAAGCGTTTATAAAAGCGGTGTAGCACAAACATAATTTTGCCATGTAAACCAACGTGAAATAATGCGAGTGTTCAGTATATATGTTGCAAAATAAATAACAACTTTGTCGGGGTTTCACGAGAATCGGTTACGGCGTTCCGGTGATGATGCGCTTTACGCAGATGATCATGCAGCTGATGTCTACTGACGTGTACTGGCGTCCCTTAGTACACATCGGTACTACTTTACTACTTCTACTCCTACTACTAAGGCCTAGGCTTTACTACAACTTCTACGCGAGTCATGACCGCGACTCCGAGTATCGACTTCTTAGAAATCCCCAGCAGAGAACTTTGACCGCGACTTGCCATTTCGACGTGACCGCGCTTCGATGACGTAGCTCAACCTATTGTTCTAGTGTATTAGTTGACCTGATGTTCTCATTAGTCCACGTGTAGTTGTGCAGCGGTGTGATTAGTCCACGTGTCCTTAGATGTCTCTTATTGGTTAGATTCTAAATCCCTATTGTTCTCAGACCCGTACCTGCGCGTACGAAGAGCCAGCACTTGCGGTGCCAACGGCTATATAAGGCGCTCGTCGCCCACACAAATGTCAAGAGTTGTAATCCCAACAAAAGTAGTCTTGTTACTCGATCTGATTAACTTCAGGCTTTTGCTCTGGTCTTCTCTTTCCAAGTGAGGCTGTTCAAACTGACCTCTGGGTGACCTTTCACCTATCGTCAGGGGTCATTCCTCTACTTCGTCGACGTGCATTATCATCTTCGGATAGTCTCGTGACGTTACAGGTTACCCACTTGATCCCACTTGTTTGCCTTGACCTTTCGGTCCCTTCGATCTTCATGCCCTGTAGCGCCAGGTTGATGGATTTCTCATACGCTTCAGCTACCATCTAGCGTCGGACAGGTAACGTATCACTTCACGCATCCCTCTTGTGTTTTCCTTTCGTGTCTTCTCTTTCAGCAGGCTTTCGGGTTCCGGATCCTCTTCTTCATCCTTGCATATCATCTCATACTTGTACATCAACATCCTTGAACTTTCGCTCCATGAAATACATAAGAAGTTGAGATTAAGAGTCGCTCTATTCCCCCGACTGGTCGTGGTCCGGGAAGTGGTATCGATAACGTCAGACACCATACAACGTCTTTCATTTTCCCTATTGCACAACATGGCGCCCTCCGTGGTTCAAACTTTCCCGATGGAGCAGAAAGTTTAATTTAATTTGATAGTACAATTAAATTGATGGTGCAGGATGGTTGGTGGTCAACTCGAGAGAGCCCACATTTAAGAAAGTCCGTTAGGAGCCACTAGTGTGGTGCAGGAGGTCTGCGTTCCAGTACTGACCTAGGGTAACCGAGTCCCCCGGTTGATTGATGTATAGATTGATTCGCACTTAGCGATATATATTTTGGGTGACAATACGGACTGAGAACAGTATAGGCACTTGAAAACTGTTCGTGTATGCGGCACTTTACGTGTCTATGATTGAAAAAGCACCGTAAGACCATTCGAGGTCAAAATTTCCTTTCATTTTATTTTTCTTTTCTGAACCGGGCAAGCCAGAAAGACTACGTGAATTTGAACGGCAGAACCAACAGGATTAGCTGAGTGGAATTGTAAGTCAAACGTGCGAAAATTCGCAGTGTACTTTTAGCCGTTCTCTAATACTGAATCTTCGTAAAATGTCGAATTTTGGTAAATATGGCGTATCCGAGCTAGCGGAGTAGCCATCGTACTACGATTTTGGAAAATTTTCGGTAATCAACAGAGCAGATATAGCTGTCTCTTGTTGTGTAACGCAGTGTCACTGTTAACTGGAAATCAGTCACAGTGTCGTAACTAGCGGGTAAAATACGAAATAGCAGTTGAAACCTTAAAGGTCAGCTGTAAATACGAGTTGTTTACACATGCTTGAGTGCGTGTTGTAGCAACGAGATTTTCGGACGTGTTGTTTCGGTACCGCGGAAGTTGGTATTGAGTCAGCGTCGTCCTAACGAAACGGTGTTGTCAGGAGTCACAGCTTTGAGTAGCGCACGTGTATCTCTGTCAAGAGCCGTGGGTCATACGAGTTGGTCGATTCGTCAATCAACGGGAACAGTGTAACTTTCACTTTCTGAATCCAGTTGTAATTGGTAAGGTTAGTCGCGGTTGCAGTGCAAACAAAATGTCAGAATCAGCAGATTTAACTGTGAAACGAGATGGCGTTTGGCCATTGAGAAAAATCGAATCAGATAGATTGCAGTCGAAAGCGGTTGAAAGCGAGTTCGATACTCGTTTTCAGTTTCCGAAGAAAGTTCCCCTTGGCTTAATGTATAGGGCAGTAGGGTTAGCTCCGAGTTACTATAGCACTTGGTTCTCGCACGAACGGTCTATCCCGTCAGCTTATTTGAATATGTCAGAAGCAGAGTTTAAAGCAGCGAAAGAATGGGCGACCTTGAATGTCACTGCGTACGAGGCAGAAGTTCAGCAAAGAAAGGAGTCAGGTACTGGTAAGAAATCTCGGGATACCATAGTTATGTCAGATGGGCCGTTAAACGCCTCGGCAATTATTGAGAATTCTGGGAATGCGGTAAGTGAGTCGTTGTTGGACTTGGAAGATAGTTCGGCTTCGAGTGCACAGAAAAATGGCATGACTCTGTCCAATATGCAGTTGATTTCAAGTCAGTCAGTTGGTACGGTTAATCCTGGGGAACAGGTAACTCCGTCAGTGGTAAATCCAGATCAAGTGGTGGATCCGAGGAGATCGGTGATGTCGCAACTGGTAATTCCACACTCAGTAGGGCAGTCAGTAAATGTGCAGAATGCAGAAGTAGTTGGAAATGCAGTTGAAAATTTGAATTCGGTAGCGGTAGGGAATTTTGTAACTCCGTCCAATATGGCGAGAGAACGTAGTGCAGCGGCTCAAGTAAGCGATGAACGCGTGATCGCTATGAGCAATGATCAGAATAATAATACGGTTGGCAGTAATTTCCTTGGTAATATTACGATGAGAGAAGGAACTCCTTTTTCTGAAAATTCAGATGATGAAAATAATACAGCGTTTAATTGTGAAAAGTCATTGTTGGATGAAGATATTCCTTTTGATGAAAATGTGAATAATCTTTTGCATCCTCTTCAGTCAGATTTGCGGCATTTTATTTTTGAAAATGATTTTGATCCCTTAAATCAGGAATTTGCGCAAGAAGTAAGTGAGGTGGACGCTAAGTTGAAAGCTTCAAAATCGGAGCAAGAGGCATTAGCAGTCACTCGTGATTCATTGGGTACTATGATTCGGTGTACAAAAAATTATGTTGCATTGTGTCTTAGGCAGTTGCAAAATAGCAGTGAAATTGATCGGTTGAACAAAATTTTGACTAAAGACGATGAATTGAAAAATAAATTACACGGTGATATTTCGGCTCTAAGGCAGCAGTTAACGGCAGTTCAGGCAAGTAATGCAGAACATGAGAAAAATGTTCGTGCACTTTCGAGTAAGTGTCAGGTGAATGAAAAACGTATTCGCGATCTTGAGGAGGAAGATTCTCAGTCGTCGAAATTAATTTTGGAAAATCAGGAGCTTAGTGCTCAGTTGCGGTCAGCAAATGAACATTTGCAGAAAGTTAAGGCAGAAGCATCGAAATCACTTGGTTCGAGTAATTTGCAGGCTTTAGCTGTTTTCAAAGAAATTGAGAAGAAATTGCTTCTGGAAATTGAGCAGTTAAAAGTTAATTGTAAATTGGAATGTAATGCGAAAATTGTTGCGGAAAAAGATTTGAAATCGGCTTTGAGTAGGGAACGCAAGCTTAATGCAACGCTTGAAGAGAAAGAGAAATTAATTCATTCAGTTGGTGTCAGAATTGACGGTAAAGATTCCGAAATTCTCGATCTAATGCAGCGTATGGAAAAATTGCGAGTTGAAGCAGAAGAATTGAAAGGTAATCAGATTTCGCATGAAAGAGAGTGGAATTTTGAACCTGAAGTTCGTGTAGGCACGGGTAACTTGGCCTTTAATCAGCCACCGGCTTACAGTAATATTGCGCAGATGTCAGGTCAGTCTCAGGGTTTTGTACCGAGTGGTACTCTGAATAATCATGGTAGCAGAAGCAGTCAGTTTAACGCGGGTAATTCAGTCGGTAGCAGCAGCAATCAAGTTTGCGGGGGTGAAAACTCTCTCCGAGTTCCCTTAGCTTCGCGTAATGACAGTGGTCAGTTAAACGAACCGAGATCAGATCAGCCTCGTTCGGCAGCATCTCGTGTTAGGCATCAGTCGCAAGATAGGCGGCATACGCAGGCGGTTAACGTAGGGCATGTTCCCTTGATTAATGTTGAAATACCGGTAAATAACGGTATCGATGAGGACGGTAATGTCGACATGGAAGACGTGAATGCAGCGCCGGTCGGTGGTTTGGCTGCACAGCAGAATGCGAATCCAGATTGGCTTGGTGTGATCAAAATTATGGCGGAGGCGATGAAGAATGCAAACTCCAGCAAGCCGAGTAATGTGATGAAATTACAACCGTACGAAGGTAAGCGGAAGTCAGGTTCGATTGAACATTGGCTCACGCAAGTTGATCAGTGTCGATTGTCGAATGGATGGAGTGACAATGATACGTGCAGACAAGTTGTTGGTGCACTGAAAGGTAACGCAGTATTATGGTTCCAAGGTTTACTTCGCGATAAACTAAATCGCGATTAGGAAAATTTTTATAAGAAAGAAATTCTTGAACATTTTAATATTGCGACGTCTCCAGCAGATATTCGTAGAGAAATGACGGCAAGAATTTTTCGTGACGAAGATACAGTCGATAATTATGCGGATAGTTTCATTAAGTGGTTTAACGATTTGGAATTAGGCGATATTGAGAAAACTAGCATTTTGCTTGAAGGATTGAAAAGTAATAAGCCAGATTGGTATAGGCATTTATTTATCATGAATATTACTGATCCGTACAAATTAATTAAGCACATGAGAGAGTTGGAAAAACTACAGAATATTCTCGGTGGTGAGAAAAAGTCTCCTGAAACTCAGCGTGTAAGTTCAGGCGGTAACAATAGTTTCAGCGGATTTAGCGGCACTTTCAGAGGTGGCCGTGGTAACTATGGAAGTCGCGGTAATTATGCAGCGCGAGGTAATTCATTCCGTGGTCAGTATTCAGGGCGTGGAAATTATACACGTCAGTATGGTAATTTCGGTAATAATAACGGCGGTAACTGGAGTGGTCAGCCTGTTCAGATGGTCCCACCAGTTTATCAGAATCCGGTAGTTTTGCAGCAGCCTGTGTTGTCTTCAGTACAGCAACCAGTGTATGCTCCAGTTCAGTTGTCGAACCCAGTTCAGATGTCGAATCCAGTGCAGATGCCAGATCAGCAGTCTTTTGTTCAGGTGGCACAGCAGCCTAATATGGCGATGGCTCCGGTAAATAGCGGTCAGCCAATTCAGAATTTTCAGCCTTTGCAGAATAATCAGAATATGATGAATTCGCAGAATTTTCAGAATCAGGGTAATTTTAGGCAAAGTGCGCCTATGAATAATTTTTGCGGACAGAATAATTTCAGACCGAGATTTCAGAATGGTAATCGCGGCGGTTTTAATGGAAAT